TCTCTCTCTCTCTCTCTCTCTCTCTCTCTAGATGTCCACAATTATCTCATCGATCTCTATTTTCATGTATACAACCGTCTCTCTATAGGTTCATGTATACCTGCTTCTCCTTCTCCATCTAAACCATGCCATCTCCATCTTCATCTTCATCGCCACCTCTCTCCATGTCTACCTCAGTCTTCGTCTCCATCTCCATCTCCATCTCCATCTCCATCTCCATCTCCATCAGCTTTACTTTACCTCCATCTCCATCTCCATCACGACCTCCACTTAACGACCATTTCGTCAAAATGGACATTTTTTATTTTTTGAACGAAATTGAAACTGAGTTTTTTGGCCGAAAACTCGTCAAAATTTGTTATTCCTGAGGGTCCAGCGTTTTACAAACGCTGGACCCCCTGGCTGTGCATGGACCTAGCTTGAGACCAGGCACCTCCAGGCAGTACTGCCTGGAGGTACCTGGTCTTAAGCTAGGTCCATGTACATCCAGGGGGTCCAGCGTTTTACAAACGCCAAACCCTCAGGAACAATAAATTTTCATGAGTTTTCGGCAAAAAAACTCGGTTTCAATTTCGTTCAAAAAATAAAAGATGTCCATTTTGACAAAATGGCAGTTACTTTATCTCATCTCCATCTCCATCTTTATCTCCATCCACCTTTCCTTCTCCATCATGTCTACCTCAGTCTCTGCCTCCATCCAGTGTCGGCCTCCATTATGGCCCTCCATCCACGTTTCCTTCTTCATGTCTACCCCCTATCACAACCTCCACTTTATCTCCATCTCCATCTCTGTCCTCCTGCCCATCTCCATGTCTACGTCACTCTCTGCCTCTAGTATGAACTCTACTTTATCTCCATCTCCATCTCCATCTCCACCTCCATCTCCATCTCCACCTCCAGAAGGAAAAGAAACAAAGGAAAGAAAAAAAAGGAAAGAAACAAAGGAAAGAAAAGAAAGACGTGTAGACTTGTCATTACCCGGCGATCGGCATTCAACTGCTGCATATTTTGTTCTTTGTTTTTAATTTCCTTTCCTTTGGGTAAAGGAAGGAAAACATATTTATTTATAGCCGTATGGAGTTTCAATGGAGGCCGGGAACCTTTGTTCTATTGCTGGTTGCTCTGACTACCGACCCCGACTCTATCGCATGTCGGGGTCTGGAGTAGAGTCGGGGTCGGGACGGGGTCGGGACAAACCGTGCACGTAGCTTTCACAGATAGAAGAATCGTGTCAAGGGGCGTTCGTCTACGGCATGGCATGGAAGGGGAGGGAAAAAGGTTCAAAAATATATATATATTTTTTTGTCCTTTTTTTTTTTTGTTTCTCCTTTTTTTTCCAAAGGGCGACGGCGTTGAGATATCATAATTTGGTCATCTGATCGTATCTTGATTCGAACTTGGGTCTGTGTTTCAACAGTTCAGGGGTGTACAAACAGAGCTTTGCCCGTTGGTTAAGAAAAAAAGAAAAAAAAAGTCCAGTTTTTTGTTTAAAAAAAAAAGGCAAAAAGAGAAGGAACGTGTAAGACACAGTAAAATTTATGTGTGTAATTAAAAATAACCCGAACTCTCTCCCCGAAAAACAAAACGAACAGGGCATTCAGCTAACAGGAAAATTTTAAGGTAGGTGGCTCTTAGTTGAATGGTACTTTATGTCGAGAGATCGATCACAGCAGATCGTCTCTCTCTCTCTCTCTCTCTCT